TTAAGAGTTTAATTAAGCGAAAAATATTTTTGAAAGTTTTTTTGTAGAAAAAAAAAAAAGATGAAAAAAGTTTTTTGGGTTTTTTTTTATTTTCCAAAAATGATTTTTTCGGAAGGACTAGGTTTAAAAATAAAATACTTTATTTTATCAGTAATGAAATGCAGAAAATTAAGTTTTAAATTGGCATAATTCTGGCAGTTTTAATTTTTTTTTTTTTCATCCATCGATCAGGTTCTGAAATCTCTCTGTTTAAAAAATTCCTTACCTTTAAAGTTTAAATTAATGAATGTGTTTTTTTTAAGGGGAGAGTCGTTTCTTATATTCTTCTTCTTACTTAACTGATATTTCGATGATCATTTCCCGGTGAAGAAGATAGTACCTTATTGTGCGTAAAAAAATACTTATGCATAGCGAGCCTTAAGTTAAAAACGAAGGTCAAAATCTTTTAGAAATTTAATGTAGAAGCAAAAACTTTAATTTACCATAAACTCGTAAATAACGAAGACAAAAATTGAGTTTAAATGACATTCTTAAGATCTTTCACTTATTGCTATTATTAGTCAAGCAAGCTTCAACCAAGATATTTTTAATTTAAAATTTGTTTTAAAATTAAGTCGTCAAATTAAGATAAAGACATAAAATAAATAAATAAGATAATGAATAATGTTTTAAGTTTCTTACAATGATTCATGTGTAGCATATAAAACACCAAGACTTTTTTTTGCTTTGATAGAAAAGAAACCATTCGTGATTGCGGATACATTTTTCTTAACATCATGAGGCAATTCAATGTTTGATTTTGTTTTTTAAACGAATAAAAACGCTTCACTTACTGAAAGTTAATTTTCAACCTAACTTGAAATCAACCTTAAAACTTTTTAGATCAAGATCATGTCAAAGTCTTGTGTTTATCATTCACAAAGCAAAGCAATTATGAAACTGAAATACTAGGAAACATCGAGGGAAATTAAACCTTTTTCTTCAATTTTGACATAAAAAAAAACAATACGACTAACTGGTTTATGAAGAGAAGATAATGTTTTGCTTTTTTAAAATACTCAGTTCACAATTGTATTGTCACAAAGACAGTTTTTTTTTGTACTTCACGTATGAACGAAGCCTAACAATTAAAAAAAACGATTACTAATGATTAATTGTAAAAACAAGTAATCTAACATTGTAATCTGGGAAATAAGTCGATCTCATAAACAGATAAGAGTTTAAATATTATATTAGAAATCACTACAAAATTGAAAAAAAAAATGAAAAGTCTAGTTTGAGAAATTTGCAATCCATTTTTTCTAAGTTGTGATTCTGAAAACAAATTAAAAACAGAATAGCTTAGAGAAGGTTACTCTGACTTACGAAATGAATAAATCAAAGACAGTGCATGGCATTATAAATACACGTACTCACAGCAATATCATATCCTCAACTTGTGCAATCTGAAGATCATAAACAATATTTTCAAAAAGTGCTGTTCCGTACTTTTTTCAAAGCAAATAACGACACCGTTTCGTTTTTCACATTATTAAAAAGGGAAAGGAAAATACAATAAAAGTTTAAGACAAACGGTTAGGAGGAAATCATTTTTCTTCTGTTCGAGAAAAGCAATTTTTTTTCACAAGGTGAGGTATATTAAGTTAAAGATAGAGAAAGAATAGGCTAAAACATTTAGAGGGGGGACAAAGTTTTGAAGTGTGAAAGTAAAGAGAGTGAGGTACACAATAATAGAGAGATTGCTCGTATGGAATGATATTGTTGTTTGTTTGTTTTTTTTTTTCTAACATAGGACTAACATTGTTTACACAGATCAAACGTAATTCAAAATATATAAATACACACCTACACTAAGTTCTCCTGCACCCACAATTACTGCAAAAAAATCGGTTACATCCCTATATACATAGTTTTACGTCACCACGATCAACACTGCAGGACGCCATATTTCTTTCGATAGTGCTGATGGGAAGATTATTTTATTTTTATTTTATTTTTATTTTTATTTTTTTACTGAGGGGGGACTACAAAATAGAAGGGGAAGTAACAGTAGGAAATAGATCAGAGGGTGAGAAATCCGTATGGAAAGAATTAGAGAGGGTTATAAAGATATATACCATAGAGAAAGGAGTAATTTGAAGCATTTTTATAGTTCACTTTTATTTTAATAAAAATATTAGTCACAAAGCTTATTTTGCAAGATAACATTTTAAAATTAATTAAAATTGAAAAAATATTTTGCTAAATTGAATGCACGTTGTGTAGGTTTTTCACGAGAGGAAGACGTTTTAGCATGAGAAGGGAATAGTAAGAGGGAAGCATAAAAGCTTTTAAAGCATTAGAGTGAGAGGCTAGATAGAACAAATGGAGTGGGTGAAAGATGAAAGCAGTGAGTGAAACGGATAGACAAACTGACACAGTGAGTGAGTTGGCTGACTGATAGTAAGGGAGTGTAATATAAAGACATGAGAGGAGAGTGAATGTCGGAGTGAGTTCCCATGGAACGAGATGTTTTATAAGTATGGCTGCTCAGTAGGCTGAATTCTTGTGGTTCGGTCAGAAATGTTTCCATCCTCTGGCTATTTCCGAGGTTTAGACTGCCCGTTTTACGCGAGCGGCCTCTGCGAAAGGCCTTACTGTCATTACAGACACGCGAAGCAATCAAGTGAGAAAGGTAAAAAGAAGTTTAATGAAGAAAAAAATACAAGAAACAAAAAAAAAACAAACCCCCGAGCCATGGAATGGAGAAGCAAGAAGAGAAAAAAATAAGAGGGAGGATACAATTATTAACTATATAAACACTGTATATCTATTTATTTAGGAATGTATGAAAAATAACTAAATTGGCTCATGATCAGAAAAAAGAAAAGCAAATTAAGTTCTATTTTTTTTTTTTTTTTTGCTTATACAAATAGAATTACTTTTGTTTGAGACAATACACTTTAGCCTTTGTATTTTTTCAGTTGCATACAAAAATAAGGTTATCTCCATCCATACATCATCGACTCTTGTTATCTGGTGCCTATTTTTCTATGCAAGAAGTAATTAAAATTATGGTCCCTCTGATATATGAGTGGGGGGAGCATAACTAGCTGGCCTCTATTTTTATTCAGGATTAAAACTGGTCTATAAAATAGTTAATTGCATCATTTAAATACAACAAAATATTTACTATTTACTTGCATAGTAAACTAGTAATATAGTGGAACAAGTTCTCTTCATTCTTTGTTATTGAGTATTAAATTATCAATTTGGTCTTCCATGTTATATCCTGATTATTTTGTAATTTGAAATTATGTAATAATAATTATCATAAAAATAGATTTTATACTATTTAGTATTTATCATTGGTTGTGTGTGTATAAATATAGTAGAGCGGTATGTGTGTATCATGTGGTCATCTGCTGTTTTAGAGCAGCTACACACCATTTAAGTGACAACTACTTGACCAGTAGGACAACAGGAAAATTGCGATTTGAAAAATCGGTAATTTTTTTCCTTAAAGTTCTTATTTTTCAATAATCCGTGACAATTTCAATTTGATTTCAAATTAATATATAATCTTAAAAATACAATATATGCTCAATGTACGTGATATAGTGGTTTAAGGATGTTTTGTAATTTGGAAAGGTCAAATTATAAATTTTATTTTTATAAATAATAAAAACGTAAAATTAAAAACTTTCCATCTTTTTTTCTTTAAATTTACTTATAAACTAAACTAAAACACAATCACTCTTATGACATTTAAACGAAAACCCCTTCCCCTTCAATATTTCTCGTTTATTGCAAAAAAAATAAATTAAATTTGCAAACTGAAAACCTCGTGCTCTCGTTTGAAATTTTTAGATTAAAATTTTTTTTTTTTTTTTTTTTTTAAGGAAATTGTATTCAGGAAACTTCTGTTTAGTTTAATTATTTACTTGGCCTTGAACAAGCTCACCTCTACAAGAGTTTTTAAACTAATTTACAAAGATTTCTTTTTGCTTCTTCATGATCTGGCTGGGATTTGCTGTATTTATCTTTTTAAAGTATTTGAATATCCTCTGGTAATTTATTGCTTAACTTTCATTCTTCCAGCGGCATGATCTTTTGTCCCTTCTTCCAGTGCTTATTTTATTTTATTGTGTATGAACTAATAAAACCTGCCTCGTGATGCATTTTCACCACCACGAGTAACTGTCTGCTCCAACTAAAATGGTAAATTTAAATTAGTTTATGTTGTTTTTTAAAACTTATTTTGAAATAATTTCTATGGCGTATGTGTGCATGTTTGTGAAAAAGCGACACTTCCCGCTTTTAGTTTTATTAATTCTTGTGGAATTTTTAAATCTTGCTTTATGGTTGAAATAAAAGAAAATTAACTTCGCATTTATTTATTTACAAAGCTAGTAATTTATTTCTCTCAAAAAAGGCTTTATACAATTTTACTTTTTAGTTCTTAAATAAATTGTAATTTCTTTTTAAATCTCGTTTTACTTTAATTTTCATTTTAAATTTAAATTAAAATATTCTGTACTGAAAAAAAACACTCGTAGACCATCAACAATCAATAATGCTTAGAATTTAATGCTCATGTTGCAGTTTTCACTGATTTGATGGGGAAAATAAAATTGCAAGCTAAGGTCTAAGGGAGCATACACAGTTCGTTAACATTGAATGTGAATTTGATAAAAAAAAAATTGACTTGAAAAATAATTGTTAAACTGTAGAAAGTTCTTTGCTGCATATAATTTATAAATTAAGAACTCCATAAGTGTGTGTGTGTTTTTTGTTTTTTTTTTGTTAAGTGAAGGACCCCCGATTCTCTCTAATATACAAGTACCCAGTACCAGTAATTTTCATGTCTAACTTCAGTTTAAATGTCACATATAAGACCCGGGAGATTTTTTAATATATAAACGTTTTTTACGTTATCTGATTAATACAGATTCCGTCTGTACAAACATACAGAGGTTTTGAAAACAAGGAAATCCACTTGAATTCATGGAAGTATTAACTTGTAAGAATAAGATGGTGTGTCTGAGTCAGAATATTTTATAATTTCTCTCTAGCAGTAGTAAACAGTTTTTTTTAGGCTAGCATTTCTCACTTAGTCATTTGAAAAAAAATATAAAAATTTAAAAAATAACCTACGCTAGAAATGAAATTTTAGAGTAGCATACCATATCCAAAAAAAAATTTGCTGATTTAATTGTTTATTTTATGCATCATAATTATCCAAGTATGTATCACCGGTTTATTTATTTCCGCAGTTGAAATGAATATTCATTAAGACTTTTAGCGTAGTTTAAAAAGAAGACACTTCATTATGCGTTTGTCAGCATAAAATGATGCTTCATGTCAGAACCAATAATAATAGCTATGGACGTAAAAATAAACTTAAATTTTCAAAAATCACTAGTGTTGTTAACACTTTTAAGAAGCAATGAGTAACCTGACGTTATTTCGTATCTAGCATCTTTTAAAAAATCATTGTTTACTTTTATTTTTTTAAATCTCTAACAATGGCATTTTTTTTTTTTAACGTGTCATTATGATTCTTTCGCGAAAAACTAATTTTTACAATATTGGCTGGCTTATCACACATAAATAAGAAGATTGATATTCTGTTCTTTAAAATGGCGATATAAAATAACTTACTAACTAAAAACTACTGATAAGACGATAAGAGGAGTAAGGAAAGATATTTCTATCGATTGCTACTTTGAACTTGTATATTTTACACAGTTACACTACTAGCAGTTTTAATTTTTATTGTTCAGTGTCACGTTTTATAGTTTTGTTTCAGTGTCTAATTTTCCTTTTAAATTTGTTAATAGTAAATAAATAGTACTGAAAATTTTCTTTAGTAGCTGTAATAAAGTAAACAAAATATTTTAGATTTTTTATCATTTGGTTAAAAAACGATCGGGAAAATAGTACAAAGATTAGGAAAATTTGAATTATTTCTTCCTTACCCCATTAGCAAGATATTTTTCTGAGATTTTTCTTTTAAAACGGAACTTTTTTCTTTTAATGCATTAAAAATTATTGGCCCGAATTATTGGTTTTCTAATGTCTTGCATCGATGAAAGAAAGTAATATTTTCTCTCTTCAGTTTCACATATATAGGTGATGAAATGGTAAAGAAAAAGATTGCAGTTATTGATTTGGGAATTGTTTTATTTTGTAAACAGAAATTGATAACTAATCAGGTGATAATAGAAAATGAATGAATTTTGTTTTGAGGCTACAACACACAATTTAAATTTGTTGCAAGTTCTCTTCTTTACAAAGAAAGACATGCTTTTTTTCTCTCTTTCTCTGAATTGAGAATTCAGTTGATTTTCAATTATAGTATTTTGGAGGCTGATTCCTTAAGAGCTCACATCAAATTTTGTAGATGACCACTTGAAATTTTAATCAGTATTAATTGAATAATAAATCTGAGCAGTTCAGACTCAGTGAGCACGGATTTTTATTTCCTCATGCCAAAATTAATGACCATTTATTTGTACATTAAATTTTTGATGTACAGAAGAAGCACTCTACTATTCCAGGCTTGAAATCTAAAAAATACTTTTAGAAAACTTTAGTTTTTTATTATTTTGTATTGTTTAATTATTGAAATTACAATTTTGACCACCTCCTCTTAAATTACCGTGGTTAATTAAAAATGACCCTCTCAAATTAGATTCCATTTTTATTTTTATCCTACCTTAAAAATTGTTAGAAAACTACTAAATCAAGATAAATCTGATTGTTTCAGATTCCATTCTAAATTTGCTTGTATAAATAGAGGCAATTAATACCTGATATTTCTTTTAAACACAGACATAAATTGAGAGATCAATTTATTACAAAATAATAGCAAATTGATTCCCCCACACATTTTCTGTCAGAGAAAAACATTAAAATTTATTCATTTATTAGTCTGTATTAAATTACTTAATGTTGCAAAAAATTCAAATTCATGTTTTCTTCAGACTGTTTTATTATCCAGTTTTTTCCTTCTCCTAGACTGGTTGCCATTTCGAGGCAAGAGAGCCCAGTCAGCCTTGCTATTTAACCCATATCGGTGGGAAGAGATGGATTCATACCCCTTTCTCAAGGGTATTTTTGCAAAACACTCTGAGCATTAATTCTACAATGTTAAACTCTTAGATCAGTTATAGTCTATTAGTGTGCTAAAAAGTTCTTAGCCTGACTCTTCCCAAAATATGGTTAGATTTTTTTTTTTTTTTTTTTCAGCACACCCTTGGCATACTTGTGGATATTTTATTAAAATGTGACTACTCTGAACTGCCCAGCAAAGCAGTTGGCCTTGGGTTTTGCAGTTTTCGTAAATCTTTAGAATATGGACATAAAATAATTTATCTTGCTACCTCTATATTTTGTGATAGTTAAATGTTATCTGATTATTGATTTTTCCAAAAAATTAAATCTTGAAGCATTTTAAATGTAATATTAACTTCAAGAGAAAAATGGCTTTTTATCTTTGATTTTGCAGCAGTTATT